CAGTGTGGTGGCCTTTGGCCTTGTGCTGCAATGCTGGTCATGCTCTGGGTTTTTGCTTCCCAGACCTTTGCTCATTCCCTGGTGCTGGTATAGGGCTAAAAGCTTCCTACTGGGCTGGGAGAATGTGTCTGCTTTCTCCATTTCTGGTCTGTCAGATCCGTGTGGTCTGTCAGACTGCCTCACTGTTGTGAGGTTTTGGGGGTACATTCCCCAGAAACTGTCATGTTTCCAAATTTTGGTTGTCTTGAAACATAGTCAGGAATTTGGGTACAAAGTGGCCAGGAATAGGTTGGATGCTTTACATGCCCACTGCTGTGTGGCCAAGCAAATGGTTCTGGATTACAGGGCTGAGTTTGATGTGAGCATGGCTGGTATCCGAAATACTTTGACTTGCTCTTCTCCCCTTTCTTCCCTATTTTTCTTACTTCTAGGGCAAGCTCTGGGGAAAGTCTAGAAATCCTGCACAAAAAATCCATTCTCATCATATCTGCCTCGGGGTCTGTGTGAACGCTGCTCAGTCTGCCCCACAGCCTGCAGTCATCTTGGTGGCATCCGGAAATGTTGGTGTTTTATCTCAAACGTAATGACACTTCTCTTCTTTTTGGAGCTGCCTACACAGACACAGCCCTCTCCTTTTTGGAGGGAAGTTTTGTTGTCCTTGCAGAGGGAAACTGAGACAGCTTAGGTGTCTGGAGGGGGTTGAGCTGAAGGACTGGGCTGGAGGTGGGGGCTTTGAGACTGGAACGAGCCATCGCTGCAGCCATGCAGTGGTGGTGGCAGAAGTGACTCACTGCAGTGCAGCAGGTATAGGGACCACTCGTCCCTCCTTGCCATGGGATTCCCAGCTGGGTGATGCTACCAGCCCTGCTAGGCTCCAGCACATCCCTCACAGCTCTGCTCCTCTCCCTCCCCAGGAAGCTGCAGTCTGTCCTGCATGCCATTCTGTGCTACCTGCCACCGACACTGCAGCCACAGGACACAGAGGTCCCTGCAGCCCCCAGCCCCTCCTGGAGAAGTGGCAGCAGATTAGCTTGGACCCCCCCTGTGCAGACAAAAGCTGCCACAAAGGGCATTAGCCTTCAGGATTGGATTACCGTGGGGCCACCTGTCATTCCCACTTTGTAAATTTATGTCTCTCTGAGTCTAGTTTTCACATTAGAGAAGTTTGTACTTAAAAAGCAAAATAAAATCCCCCCTGCCCCCCCTCCTCCCATGTCTCCCCTGGCAGCAGCCTGTTGGGGTTATTTTAGCATCCCATCTAATTGTGGAGTTCAGAGCTGAGCAGGGCTGGGAATTAGGGCTGTTTGAACGAGGAGGGCCTTTATTACATTAGTCTAAGTGGTTAATAGGTAAAGTAGGCCAATCCATCTTTAGACTAAGCCTATCACTTCGCCTACGGAGGATGCAAGCCTTCACCGAGGAAATATTCATTAGAGGAAAAGCTTTTCCTCTGTCTCTCTTGACATGTTCAGAGCGAGGGGCTTTGCTCTCTGCCTGCAGGAAATTCATGACTGTGATCCCACTGTATCTCCATCATCTCATGGGACCTGCAGGTCCTCCAGGTGCTGGCTGCCCAAATCAGGGATGCAGGAATTTGCTGGCAATGTTATCCTCACTTTCCTTTTCTGTGCTCACAAAGCAGAATCCTTGTCTCTTCCCTAGTGGGGATGGAGGGGAAGGGTTCAAAGATAGAACTGCAGCACTGGGACTCTCTGCTGTGGGATGTTCTCAAGGCAAAAAGGGTTTCAAAGGCTCAGGCAGTCCACAGTCAATATAAAATGGGATGATTTGAGTGCACACACTGGCTCCAGAGGTCTTTGATTCCAGGTTGCCAGAAGGCAGGAGGATAACAAGACAGGAAGACTGCTTGCCAAGCTTTTCATACCATCTTTATTTCCCACCCTGCTATCCACTGCAGCCCTCTGCACTGTCTCCATCCAGCCCTGTCCCGACTGGTGCAGCAGCTTTTGTCTGTGCTCAGATCTCTTTCCCACGGCCTGCCCTCAGCTTTATCATCTCCCTTCCCCGTAAGGTAGTGGTGGTGGCTGCACCTCTGCCATCACTGCCTTGCACAAGGAAGCTGCCCATGTCTGTATCTCCCAGAGGGGCCATATCCCACCAGCACACCATTGCTGCAGCTCTTCCAGCCATGATAGCTCCTTCCCTCACCCTCTACCACTCAGGCAGCCATCGCTGTCTGGGAGCCTCAGAAGCAGATATTCAGAGTTGGAATCTGGTCCTGCTTCCATCGATGTACACATCTGGTGTGTTGTGTTGGAGCCACAGTGCTACACCCGGGCCAGTTTGCCCTTCTCCAGGTGTGGTTTGAATGGGAATAAACCCTCCTCAATGATTCTTCCACCTGTGTGAGTTCACAGCAGCAAACATACCAGTTCCTCCTGTCCCCAAGGCTGTGTCTCTGGCTGCCATCATGATGGGTGATGCCTGTGTGGGAGGTTATGGAAGCCATGGAAAAGCTGCTCGCTACAGACGAGCACGTGCAATGAAACACTGCTTTCCTGGATGTGGTGCTGTCAGAGGTTCAAACCACATCCATGGGCCATGATATTTGACTTCTGCTGTTCTCCAGTTTCTGTGCAGCCACTTTTCAGTTGGGTCAGCTGTTGGAAACAAGATGTGCTGCATGTCCTCAGGCACAAACCAGGGGTGGGCTCAGGTGTTGCTGGCCCTATGGGTGCCTCTCGTGCTCTTCCACTTCTGCAGTACACTCCTCTGAATTCATGGAAATGCTCATTAAGAGTTTCCCAACCCAATCACCTGACTCAGCAACTCAGCCCCCAGCAATTTCCTCCTCTTCCACAGGGCAGAGCCCTGCCTAAGGCCTCTCTTGTGCAAGGAGGAAAAAATAAGTCTTGCATCATTACCAGGAGCACAGTAAACACTGATTGCAGCAGCCCTGCAGGAGAAGTTGACCTTGATGTCCAGGGCCTCAATGCAGAGTGACCTGCTGGACTCACTGCCTTCAGTTGGACCTAGGCCCATCATGGAGAGCAGTCTCCGCTCTTGGCAGGTCCCTGGCCATTGGAGGCTTCGTGGATTGAAACCTTAAATCAATTGGTGGCCATCAATTGCTGTAGAGCTCAGATTTAACGTGGCCATAAAAAAGAGACCCCACTTAATGAGTAGTCTGTCGAAATCCACATCAGCCCACGTTAGATTTAGGAGTCCCTCCCTGAGCGTCACTGACTCGCGCTGTTCTCCGAAGGCGTTACCGGTTTGTGGAGTGAGCCAGCAAGGCACAGGGTTAGTCAGAGCTGTGTTTTGATTCTGTTTGTCTGCACATGACAGCTCCTGACTTGCAGCAGCATTCATATCCCAGGTGCCCATAGGCTGGGGCGACTTTCGTCTGCATGAGAAACTCCATTTGTGTGATGCTGAGAAGGCAGCCCTAGGGTTTGCCATCACTGTTGGCTGGAGGTTGCCCCAGCATGCTTGCCCCTTTGTCCCAGATCCACTGACTGCCCTATTGACCCAAGTGGGTCTAGACTAGATGATCTTAGAGGTCTTTTCCAGCCTTACTGATTCTTTGATTCTATGAACAGTGCAGTGCAGAGCGCACAGGTGTGGGCATTGCGTGTCCCTTGGCAGTAAACACATTGCATAAACTTAATGCCAGAAGGTGAAATAGAATACTGTGTACAATCTACTTCAAACAGCAGTTACCTAAACAGCTACTGACCAAATTCCATGGCCATGCAGCAATTTGTTGTTCTGTCAGCCCACTCATTATGGATTTTCCTGCTATTTACCCCCAGATGGGTCATTTTTCCCTTTGCCTTCTTACTCAGGGAAACCACTGGCATTAGCACGAGTTATCAGCAGCATTTGGAATCTTGAGGGCTCACAGTGATCTTTGCTGTAGAGGCATAAAGCAATGTGGGAGAAGAACAAGCAGCCTCTGTGTGCAGTGCAGTGCAGTACAGCTGGGGTAAGGCTGCTTGAGGCTTGCAGAGCACACTCTCACCAATCATTTCTCTGCGATGGTGGATGCTTTGAAAACTTAATCAAGTTTTATAGCTTTAATTTTGTGACAGACTCCCCTCTTGCTGTCTTTAACTGTCTCTCAGCCCAGAGTAAATGAGTCCCATGGGGTTGTGAAGCGAAAGCATTGGCAAAGGGTCTAAAATATTTAGGCTTGCCTAGTGAATGTTAGGAAAAAATGACTTTTCTTGCTTTGAGCTATTTCAGTAATTTTAGAAAGTTATCCAGTTTTTATCAGCGTTGTTAATTAGAAATGACCAGGGAAATAGAGCAGAATTCAAGGATTTGTGTATTGTGAGGGTGTGCAAGCTTAGGTTGTGTTCTCCTGGTTGCATCCTGTATCCCAACTGGTTGTAGCCCATGTGGCGCTAGAGGAGACAGGCTGTCCTTGCTGGGTACTGGCTGGAATGTGCTGGAGATGCCTCCAGCAGCTCTTTCTGGTGCTTGACAGGGAAATACCCTGCTGAGGACCCAGTTGTTGGGTGACCAGCCAGGCAGATGCTGTGGGCAAATAGCTCTTTTTTTGCCTAAGCTGAGAGAAATGTAACACTGGAGATGCTAACGGAAAGCAGAGTGGGCATGCTCTGGTGAGCTCCTGGCTTTCAGTAGACCTTCCTCTTTTTACCCTTGGGAAAATGAGCTGTGGGCTGGGCATGGAGGCAGTCTGGTGCTGACATGAGCCATGCACAGTGCTGCTGTGGACTCATCCTGACCATCTGGCGTGGTGTGTGCAGCCACACTGCAGGTGTGGAGTTACAGCCTGGCTCCCCCACCCCTGGAGAAGTGGGACATTGCTCAGCTGGGTTTCTAATACAGTGCTGTTTAACAATACCCATAGCCCCTAGATCATTGGAAAATGGATTTATCCATGTGAGCTAAATGGCCCATACAAGCATGTTAAGGAAGAAAATTCTTGTGTATGTATGTGTGCCTGTATTTAGATATACGTGTGTATTTTGCTGTTACCTGCTGTTGTAACCTGCACGTTTTGCTGGCAGGGACCTCATGCCCAGGACCCTGGAGGGGCAGATCACCATGGAGAAGACCCCCAGCTACTTCGTCACCAAGGAGGCCCCAGCGCGCATCTCCTCCATGGCCAAGGGCACGAAGCTGATCGTGGTGGTGCGGGACCCCGTGACCAGAGCCATCTCGGACTACACGCAGACGCTCTCCAAGAAGCCCGACATCCCCACCTTTGAGAGCCTGACCTTCAAAAACAGGACTACGGGCCTGATCGACACCTCGTGGAGCGCCATCCAGATCGGCATCTACGCCAAGCACCTGGAGAACTGGCTGCTCTACTTCCCCATCGGGCAGATCCTCTTCGTCAGCGGGGAGAGGCTCATCAGCGACCCCGCGGGGGAGCTGGGCAGGGTCCAGGACTTTCTGGGCCTCAAGAGGATCATCACCGACAAACACTTCTACTTCAACAAAACCAAGGGCTTCCCCTGCCTGAAGAAGGCGGAGGGCAGCAGCAAACCCCACTGCCTGGGGAAAACGAAAGGCAGGACCCACCCCGACATCGACCAGGAGGTGGTGCAGAGGCTGCGGGACTTCTACCGGCCCTTCAACATGAAGTTCTACCAGATGACGGGGCAGGACTTCGGCTGGGACTGAGGCTGGCGTGGGAAAGTCCCCTGTAATTACTTGCCCATCACAGTTTGCGTATATAAAGAGATATATATGTATGTAAAATGTACAGAAATCTATTTTATAATAATTTATTTTTAATTCCTAAGCAATTAATTCACTAAGCTGCCTAACCGCACTGGCTAGAACGGTAGCCTGTAACCTGTTTAACATTCCACCGTGTTTAATTCTAATATGTCTCTTCTTTTTTTTTTTTCCTCTTTTTTTTTTTTTGGTTTGGTTTGTAACAGACGGTGCTTCCATTTTTCCTAAAGAAGATTTGTATTTAAAAATAAAAAAAGAAAAAATATTAGAATTAAACAAAAAAGAAAAAAAAAAAAAAAAAAAAGGGAGGGTGGGAAGGGAGGGAGGGGAAAGCACAAATTTATTTTTGTTACGGGTATCTGGCCTTTATAAACACTTGCTTTCCCTATTCCGGTGTCCCGGTCTCTGCTCCCTCGTCCCAGGGGTTCTGTGGGGCGGGTGGGTGCAGAGCTGGTGGGTCAGAGCGTGGGGAATCCAAGCCATAGAGCCCCTGCCTGGTGTCCCGTGCTCCTTTCCTCGTGGGGATGCTGCAGAGCCTGCGGCGCAGGCAGAGTGGACTCTTGAGCCTGCTGCTCCTTGCCCTGTGTCGAGGAGGCTCGTTCCCACAGTCCCTCTATGCATTTTAAATCTTGACTGCAGGACAAATGTGAAAATGCATGTATATGTGAGTGCGATGCACTCTGTGCTGCTCGGAAGCCACATGTGGTGCCTGCCCCATGGGGGGAGATGCCAGAGATACCTGCAGAGCCACCTGAGCCCCCAAGTCTGAGCCTAGCACTGTGCCCTCGGTGCCCCCCAGGGCACTGCCCCTGCTGGGAAACAACAGCTGGCCCTCTTTACTCCTGCTGTATTTTGGTTGAACACATTTCCCATGCTCTCAAGGAGCAGTATGTGCTTAGAACTGGGAAAAATGCTGCTTTGCCAATGAGGGCAAACCTATAGAAAAGCAGGGGGAGGCTGGCAGCTGGGCAGGATGGGAGGCTCTGAGCACCTCGCTGTCAAGCTGTGTGCAGTGACCTGGAAATCCTTCCCCAGAAGTGGAATTGAATGTGTTGGAACGTTAGAACAGGTTGGCAGGGCTCTCCGAAAAGCTCCAGCTGTGTTTTGCATGCTCAGCAGGTTTTGGTAATCACTGTGTGTGCCCACTGCCTTGTTGCTGTCAGAGGTTCTGTTAGCTCAGCTGAACACCTGCAGGGCTGTGGTGAAGCTGTATGGGCTGTGGGCTGACACAGCAGCGTTCCATTGGGTACCTTGTCCATGCTGGTGGGGTGTGTGGGGTTCACACCCCTTGTGCATGTCCTTAAGGAGTGGGAGATGTCAGCATGATGCCAGGTAGCAAAACTGCCATGAGCAGGACCAGCTCCCCATGTGGGCATTGCCCCCAGACACGTCTTCCTACAAAGAAAATGTGATGCAAATCCTCTCCTCCTTGCACCAAGCCTTTTCTGACAGTGAAGCAATGCTTAGGGCCATCATCCACCAACAGGAGTGTGGGACCCGACAGGTTAGCAGAGCACACCCCGCTGTCCCACAAACACAGCTGAAACCCATGGTGGTGGTTGGATCTATGCACATTTGGGGGCTTTGGTGCCCAGCCAGGCCCCGTTCCCTACTGACAGATGCATGAGCACATTGCAGACCCCATGGTGTTGGGTGGCCTGGGAGAAGGAACTGCTTGGGGCTGATGGGGTGATGAGAAGGAAACACTTGGTGCTGGAAAAGTGATGAGGGGTCCCAACATTCTCAGTATTCCTACAAGCTGGCTTATGCAAAGTGCAGAAGGAAAAAGCTTGCCTTCCCCAAGTGATTCCCACTCTGTGGCTTCCCTGCCATGTGCTTCCCTTAGGGTGCGTGTGCCCGCCTGTTTTTTGTGCTGGAAGATTCAGCATCCCCTCTCTCTTCTAGGATACAACTTGTTAATATCCCAATGCCTTCCTCAGCTGCATGGCAGAGCTCAGGCTTCATTTGTGTTATCCAACCCTGCTGCAAAACGCTCTCATGAAGCAATCTTGTAGAAGAGCAGAAATACAGAGGGTGAATAATAACTCTTCTAACTGTGAGCAAACGGTTAGCCCTGCCTCAGTATCCTCTGTAATGAAGTGTGTAGTAGACTTCATTCACTGTAGAGGCCTTACCTGACAGTGTGACAGCAAAGGTGAATTCCCCGTGGTGTACGGCCGGTTGCTAATACTGGAATCAGTTCTATTGTCATCATTTAAAAACAAAACCTTTGGTGTTTGTTTGTTTTTTTGTTTGAAGTTAAGCTTGGAGGTGTGATTAGAAGTTCTTTTTTTTATTATTATTTTATTTTATTTTTTAAATCTTCACATTGTAACATTAATTTATGGCTGAGTTTCATTCAGTCCTGTATTCTGAAGTGCAGTACAGGTATTAGTGATGCGTTCTCTGTAACATGGTACTGTAGAGTAGCCCATTTGTTAAAAAAAAAATAAAAAATAATAATAATAATTAAAAAAACAACAACAACAACAAAATGGAAAGAAAAAAACCCACAAAAAAGAGAGTCTGATTAAAAAATGTAAATCAAGTATTTTGTGGTATGTACAACACAAATTAATTTTACACAGAGAAAGATGTTTCTAGGAAAATGAAATTCTGATAATTCATACTATTTGTATGAACAAATAAAAACTCTATTTTACCAAGCGATGGGTGCAGCTGCATTCATTTGGGCTGAGGGTGCTCCCCAGTTGGGTTGGGCATTGCTGGCTCCATGCAAAGCCTCAGGGTGTGTTTGGGAGCTGGAGGCATCCTTGGGTGGAGTTTTGCTCAGCCGCATTGCGTGGGCTGGTCTGACCCATCCAACACATCTCATCAAATGTGATTTGGGGGAAGAAGAACCAAGGCTTGCCCTCAGCCCCACTGCAGGACTTGGGTGTTCATGGCCATTCTCCCATGCTGGGATGCTGGAGGATAGATTTGGTCCTTCCATGCTGTTGGTGGTGGGGACCTTTCCAGAGCCAAGCTTCTTTCCAGAGCTTTGCAGTCATTGCTCTGATGCTGGTCCAAACCTCTGGGGCCAGCGGTTGCTGCTGCTCCTACACACTCAGCACTTTAAGACATAAAAATTCATTATCATCAAGTTCAGAGGAATCCCAGGCCAGTGCTATACAAAGCAGTGCCTGAAGAGCAGTGCAGATTTATGAAACAGAGCAATTGCCATTTAACTAAACTGAATTAAAATAATTTAATTTTTCTTAGCAAGTCTTGCATCCGGTGCAGAGTAATTGATGGAATCTCTCAGATTGCCCATTTTTCAGAGACGTGGAATGGCAGTCAGAATTACACACAGTGTGCAAGGTAGCGATTGAAGAGGAATTTGACCCGCATGCCTCCGGCTTGTCAGGATTTTAATCAGCTGCTCCCAACCTCAGGCAACACGAAGACTATAGGTGAGTCGTTTTTAAGATGTATAATCAGGGTAGATTTTACTTTAAAATTGCCATATACTCATTGAGTGCTGCAGCTGGATGTGCTGAGAGCTGACTTCAGGTGAAGGGGTTGAGCAGCTCGTTACCCCGCTCCCACCTTGGCTGGGTCCCATTCAAAGCCAGGTGCTCCTGAAAGATAAGAGTTCTGGGATGAGGTTCTGAATATAGAGGAGCATTTTCCCCAAAGGAGGGAAGATGAAACCTTCTGGTGGCTCTGGGGACCTCTGTGGAAGGAGGAGGCGTCCAAACAGCTGGAATGATGTGATGGAGAAGCAGGTGAGGCTGAAAGATTGGTGCTAATGATGGTGACTACTGGGGTGGATTTACTTTTATCTCATGTGGGCAAGGCACAAAAGTCAGATGTGGAACTTGTAGAGATGAGTTTGCTTTGACAAAGGCAAATTTTTTTTTTCCCATTATTGGGTTTGGGACCAAAATGTTTCATTTGAGGGAACTGTGAAGACTCAGTGCTTTTTGCTTGGGCCTGGCTTCAGGGAGGGGTCACTTCTGTGAGTGTTTTCCCTGGGATTGGTGTGCTGTGTGTGCCTCCCATACCCAGGTGCTGGTGGCCCTGGTTCCCAAGCCACTGGGGAACCACAATTGGGATTGCTTTGCTTCTCTTCCTCAATTATCTGTGTTTTTCTTCCCCTTCAAAAAAAATCTGTTAGCCACTAGATCTGAATTAATAGCTTCAAATAAAGCCCTTCTTTATTATCCTCCAATTTCTCTCTGTGGTTAAGAATCACAGTGTTAACTCTTAATACATATATTCGAAAAGATAATAGCAATAAATTAGTAATAAATCCTTCAGGCATTTCTATGGGAGACGAGTGTTCAGCACCTTGTTTAATGGCCTCTTTATTGGAGGGAGGAATCCCTGTGTCAAACATCAGTGTTGGCACCTTTGGCTGGGATAAAACTTCACATCTAACGTGAGTTTGCAGAGCTTTGGGCCAATCAAGATTCCCCAACGTGAGGGGGATGTAAACTTCATTAAGAGGGATATTCCAGCTCCTTGCCCCATGCACTAATTCACTGGGAGGGACCAACTGGCGTAGAGGATGGGATAGCTTGGTGAGAAGAGTTTAGATCAGCCAACTTATTAGCCCTATTTACTGCTGCTTCCCTTTGTTTTCAATGGATCACCATCCGGTCCTCTGTGACTTCTAGGTCCTGACTTTTGCCTTCACAAATGGGATTTAAATAGGATTGCTGAAGTCAGCCACTATCACTGTAACGATTCAGAACTGAAGAGCATCCTTGAGGAATATTTGCAACTGTTTATACAGTCAGCTATAATTGTGAGGCTTAATTCATGCTCATTAAAGTCTTCTGAGGTGCTTGATGAGAGGCACTGCAGCAGCACAAAGTATTTCTGGTTATTCAGGCTGCTCACAGCAATGGAGTCATTGCCATTTGTCTTGGCTTGATTTCTTCCCATCCCACCAGGAGCTGCTGGGAGGACACCAGTACCAGCTGTCCTCAGAAACCAGCTCAGAGCTGGCTCTTGTTTAAGTGCCATGCCCTGATAACAACCAAACCCCTGAACAAAAGAATGAAGTTTTAAAGTAATATGATCAAAAATCTCTTGGCAGGGAAGGTGCAACTGGCTGCTTTGACATGTAGGTTATTTAGCTGGGAATTTATGTGTCAAAAGCTTAAAAGCTTCACTGAAGCAAATTTAAGAAAGCGCCATGTATCCAACTAATTAAGTCATGTCAGCCAAATATAATTTATTTCTCACCATCACTCATGTCTACAGCAGAATTATCTCATTTTTGATTTCTAATGACTTTCTTTCTCATTAATCT